TGAGAAGCACTGACATATTTTAGATTAAAATGCCAAAAATTTAATTTTCTTAATAATTAGTTTCAAAAATGACATCTTTTAGAGAAAAGCTGTTCTTAAAAACACCTCTATGCCCTTATGTTACATTTATTATACCAGATACTGAGTTGCAATAAATAGGCAAAAATAAGAAAAACAACTAATCTCAATAGCTTAAGCTCATATTTTTTTTCCTAGTTGACATATGAAGCAAGTTGCTTTAAAGGTCATTAGCCACGTGTTCAGCAGATAAATCTCACAACTATTGCTGTTCAACTTGGCAGCACTGTGAAATATTAGAAAGCTGTGATTAAAATTTTCAGTTTCTATAAAGATCTAAAACTTAAAAATTTGAAGCTATGGCAGAATTTGTTCTTGCTTTTATCTTATAAAGTCAAATGATAGTAACTTCTGGCTTTTTTAACTTCTCGAATACAGCTACACATATCTCTATCTTGGTCTAGACAGATATGTCTATATACATATACCAGATAAGAATTCAAAGAATAAATGTAGTTTTTACCAGGGCTTTGGGAGAATGGGAAGAAAGTCTTGAGAAATGTAATCATCATATTACTTTTTAAGATTAAAAATATTGATTAATAAAATTGTTTATTTGAGAGACAGAGAGTGAGTGCTCCCACTTGCTGGTTCATTCCTCAAATCCCTTCAAGGGCTGGGGCTAGGCTGGGGCTGGGTTCAGGCCTGGCTGGGGCCTAAGTTGGAAGCCAGGAATGCAGTCCATGCATCCATGGGCAGCAGGAACCCAGTTACTTCAGCCATCACTGCTACCTCCCAGGGTCCACATTAGCAGGAAGTTGGATTCAGGAGCTAGAGTGGGGAATCAAATTCAGGAGCTTCAATGTGCAACATGGGTGTCCTAACTGGCATCTTAACTCTTAGGCCAAGTACCTACTCCAATTTCTTTTTTAAGTCAGAAGATTAAAGGAAAAAAAATAAAAGTCCTTACGTTTGAATGAGTGCATTAAAAAAAAATCCATTGGAGACAAATACTAGTCAGAGATTAGCTGAAAATTCTTATAATTTCAAATGCTGACTGAAAAGAAATAACTTAAACTGCAACCTACAGCAAATACATTGGAGCATTTTTGTAGTTATGTGTGCTGATGGAGAGCAAACAGAACTTTAGGAACAGGTCAGTGCTAGACATAAACCATCGCTGTAAAACAAATACGTGTTAGAATTTACAGTTCTTATTCTATCACAATTGGCATAATCTTTCAGACACATAGTTCTTTAGTTCCCTGAGCTGGGACCACCGTCTGTGTTCTTCCTAAGTGCCAACTGATTCTTCAACATCAGGGTCACATATCACTCAATCCTTCATCTGAACAGCTATATTACCTCTTGTTCTAGACCATTCATTTGTAATGCCTCATGGCTATTGCTGAGCCATTATCTCAAAGTGTAATTTAATTCTTAAGATCTTCAGGGCAGAAAACCAATCCTTCACTGCTTGGTGTGGTCCCACATACCCAGCAGAGTATAGGAGCTTTAGAATTCACTGAAACCTGTCAGGTAAACCTGGCTGATTGAACAAATGTTTTTCTCTTTGCTACATCTCAAGTTTTCAGCAAAATTACAGGAAGGAATATAAAAGGTACTGTGCTATACAATGGGGATGGGAGAGAAGATAGCAATGGAGAAGAAAGATAAAAAAAATATGGCAAGTAGGTAACAAACCAGGACTACAGATCAAAAAAAAAACCAGCCAGGAAAAGATAAGCCTTGAGAGCAGGTAGAGGGAAATAATAAGGCGATTTGTCAAACTATGGATAGAATTAGACATCAGAGGTACCAGTTATCTGGAAAGAATGGTAAGATGGAAATTAAAAACAAAGAGATTGGTTTAAAATAGGGAACTTGTTTAAGATATGAAATAGGAAAAAAATTAACCACAAAGACTCTACCTTTGTGGTTATGAGGGACAGAAATGGATAGGTTAAGTCGGTTAAATCAGAACACAGGGTCTGGTGCTGTGGTGTAGAAGACAAAGCCTCTGCCTGCAGCACCTGCATTCCATGTGGGTGCAGGTTTGTGTCCTGGTTGCTTCTCTTCTGATCCAGCTCTCTGCTATGGCCTGGGAAAGCAGTAGAAGATGGTCCAACTGCTTGGACCCCTGAACCCACGTGGGAGACCTGGAAGAAGCTCCTGGCCCTTGGCTTCACATAGGCCCAGCTCCAACCATAGTGGCCATTTGGGGGAGTGAACCAGTGGATGGAAGACCATTCTCTCTGTCTCTCCCTCTCTCTGTCTGTAACTCTACCTCTCAAATAAATAAATAAATCTTTAAAAACAATAAATAAATCAGAACACATTCCTCCCCTTTGCTCATCGTCTAGGAAATCAGTTGTTACTTCCCTGAGATAGGAATCAAGGATCTTTGTCTGAGAAAGCTGAGAAGAGCAAAAATGATTACCACCACTGATATGATACTCTGCATACCCCAACAAAATGGCCACATTGCCACCTAATCCCCATAGTGCGCACCATTCTCAAAATGACTTGTTCACTCATGGTGTTTCCCATAAGCTTTATTGTGTGTCACTTTCCAGTATGCACGCACCATCAATGACAACCTGACATTCAGGAAATTCATCCAGTATGAAAAAGAATAAAACAAAGGAAATTGACAAAAATGAAAACAATGCAGGAATCAAAGAAAAACTAAAAAACAACAGCACTGTGATTCGTATTCTCAGGGAGATGAAATGATGCTGTTATAAAATAAGAAATAAATACATAAAAAGTTAAATGATTGAAAATTAAGAATGAAGACTTACAAAATAAAAACTTAATATGTGAAATAAAAAATTCAAATTAATGGTTGGAAATATTTCAGAAGACATAATGAAAGGGTAAAAGGGGAGAAAAGGTGAGAAAAAACAAAGCAGTTACATAAAATATGGGAACACTTCCCTCACTGATTATAGAAAACAATAGATGAATGAGATAGGATAGATAAAATGGAGAAAAATTCATAAGGAAATTGATGGAACAAAGACATAGGCCTCAGCCATTCTTGCTCTTTGCCCAAAAGAGATAAACATTGGAATGTATTCCTTGCTCTTGAATCTCAATTGAGTCTCACACCCTTGAAAGACAGTTCCAGGAATTCCCCTCCGCCTGCTGCCCCCTACCCCACCCCTCCCGGCCCTTGGGGTCAGGGCCTTCTGCCAGGTGTTCCATCATGGGCATGCGGGCAGTTGGTCACCCACCTCTACGGATTTATTTTCTCTGAATAAATTCAGTCTGGCTGTAAATTCATACACTGCCTCCTCTCTATTCTGCCCCTCTTTTCCTAACATTTTGGTGTCCCATATGAGGAGGCACCAATCTGCAACTCTTTTCATAGCAGAATTAATATAAGGAAACTTCCATTAATGACGCATATGAATCTCCAGATTAAAAGAGGTTTCTGATAGGCCAGAATAATTCAGTTAAAAAAAAAAAAAAACCTTTTACTTCCCATGTCATATTTTTTGGGTAGATACGCTAAAAGGAAGAGTTAATTTAAGCAAAAGAAGACGTGTAATCTGGAAATAGATCCAACACTAGAGAGGTGAAAGCAGTTTCTAAATTGAGAGCAAAGGCAAGGACCTGGACAAAACCCGTACAACAAACTTAGGACAACAAGCTGAGGGGGTAGAGACACTTTGGGGAAGGCATGGAACTACAGATATATTTAAAAGTATGTTGGATTATGTGGAAAAGTGAAATAAAAGCCTGTTGAAAGCTGCGAGAAAAATTATCAATAGATTTTAAAAAAAGGTAAAAAAAATAGTGAAGTTGTTAACTTCAGGGAAGAAAATGTGTATTATGAAGTAACTACACATGGATTTCAATTGTTTTTGCTCCCAAATAAACTTATCTTTTCCATGAAATCATTGAAGTGCTGTTGCATGTGATCAGGTGAAAAAAACAATATGTTAAGTACTAAATACTGACTTCATAAAAATTGTGATATTCTTAATTTTGTGGGATGAGGAAAGAAATCAGGATAAGACTGGTATTGTCTGCGACATGAGGAAACTAAAAGCCTAAATTGAAAAATGAAGACATATCAGATTAGGCAAGTTTTTTTGTTTGTTTTTTGATTTATTTATTTGAAATGCAGAGTTACAGAGAAAGGGAGACATAGAGAGAGAGATCCACCATCGTTTGGTTCACTCTCCAGTGGCTGGGGCTGGGCCAGGCTGAAGCCAGGAACTTCCCATATGTGTTAATAGAGGCCCAAGCACTTGAGCCATTTTCCATTGCTTTCCCAGACACATTAGCAGGGAGCTGGTTGGAAGCCCAGCACCTAGAACTCCAACTGCTGCTCACAGGGCGTGCTGGCATTGAAGGCTGTAACTTAACCCTCTGAGCCGCAGAGGGTTATTCTTTAAAATATGAGTTTAAATATGAGCCAAATGAGACACATTCCTGAAAAGGAACATCTCTGGTAGTAGGATAGGTTGGAGGGTCTGTTTTTTTTTTCATAATGTCTTTTAATTCTGAGCATACATTACTTCGATAATTAACGATTTGATAACGATTAGATAACGATTAGCTACTACTTTATTTAAAATGAAAAGGTTCAATCCATTTTACTTTGCTTTTTAAAGTGTGCAAAGGCCTCTACTACCATAAAAGAAGGTTGAGAAAGAGAACATCCTTCTCTTTCAACCTGAAATACTGCTTGTAGTGGTAAATGACAGTGACGTGGTATCTGCCTATTATTTCAAAAACCTGCTCCCAAAGAGGGTCCTTTCTCATTCCAAATATTCCCTAGAAAGGCCATAATGACGTTCCCAGAGGCAGAGCTCCGGATTCCTGTCCCCAGGAATCTTAATTTCAGCTGCCCCTAGCTTCGCAGAGGACAGTTCTCTGCACACTTCTGGCCTTGGCCTTTTCGCACTGGCTCCTCCCCCAGCAACTTCACTTTATTGGTGGGTTCGCGGGAGAGGAGGAACTGGGCGTGGCTGGTTCTGTAACTTCGCTCTGCGGGGAATGCGGTCTCTCACGGGTGTGCCCGCAGAGGTCTGTTCCTGTGTGCAGCACCCGGTAGAGTCCCTTTGTGCCAGAGGGCTCCCGAGTGGGGAAGCCGGGCCCTTCAGCCTGCACTCTCAGAGAGCGCGCCGGCGTGGGCGACCGGCCGAGTTCTGCAGTTCAGTTGGGAAGTCCGTTGTTGCCTCAGCCCTCCATTGGAGATTGGCGTCCCTGGTAGTGAGGGTCATGTTTTGGTTCCATTAGCCAGCTACCGTTTTGTCCTTAGTTATTACTTATGGACTGGATCAACATTAACGCTATCAACTGTTTGTGGATGTCGTCATTTTTTCTCAGTTATCCCGTGGGATTTTCTGTGTTCAACTTGGTGGCAGCATGTAAATACCATTCTTACAAATTCTAAATTTTATAGTTGTTTGGTAAAATTTTTCTTTTCATTATTGGTGTAATGTATCAACTACTTAATGAAACAAATGAAGAAATTAAGTTACATTTCCTTTATTTGCAAGTTACCAATATTGAAAATGTAACTAGACGTTGACAGTTGAACGACAGGATAAATTCATCTCCTGAAAAAACATGAAGTTAGAATATGAGAATTCACTAAAGGCTAAGTTAATGAAAGTGACATGTATTTTCCCACTGTATTCCAAGAGAATGTGGTCAATTCACATTAGGAAATTGACTTCTATAGCAAATATGCTTTGTAACATATTGGAAAGTGGGTTTGCAAAATGTCACATGACCATGTTGGTTGGTGTCACTATTACTAGATGCCTGTGAAGGGAGGTGTTCCTTCAATAGTAATCCTTTATTCATCCGTGTTTTCTGTTAAATTTATCTCATTTGGCCAAAACTTCTTTTGCTTTGCCAACTCCATATATTGATTATTGATTAACTGTGGACATAATTGCTGACCTTTTATTAAGGATCTTAAGACATTTCTCGACATTGTTTCCTTCTGAAAATCACTGTTGTGTGTATTTTAGGAATTTTATTTGTTTATTTGAAAGAGAGAGCACAAGTGTTATCGTCCACTGATTCATTACCCAAATGTCCACAGCAGCCAGGACTGAGGAGTCAGAATATAATCTGTGCTTGCCATATGATGGCAGGAACCCAATTATGGGGGCCATTCTTTCTGTCTCCCACAGTCTGTTAGTAGGAAGCTGGAGTTAGGAGCCAGCACCAGGAATGTCCTCTGATATGGGATGTAGGTATCTTAACCACTTTTCCAAACACTTGTCCCGTGTCCTTGTGTTTCAATGCATCTTATAAATTATCTTGGCAGTTGTATTCATTTTCTAATTATTTTGTTTCAAAGAAAGATAAATCTGTTTCCTTTTCCTCTGCTTGGACATCATAATCTCTAGCTTGTTTTGAATCTTGTCTAAAAAACACATTTTTTTCCTTTTTTAAAATATTTATTTATTAATTTGAAAGGCAGAGTTACAGAGAGGCAGAGGTAGAGAGAGAGAGAGAGGTCTTCCATCTGATGGTTCACTCCCTAGATGGCCACAATGGCTGGAGCTGAGCCAATCTGAAGCCAGGAGCCAGGAGCTTCTTCCGGGTGTCCCACGCAGGTTCCTGGGGCCCAAGACTTGGGCCATCTTCTACTGCTTTCCCAGGCCCCAGCAGAGAGCTGGATTGGAAGTGAAGCAGCCGGGACTGGAACCGGCACTCTTATGGGATGCTGGATCTACAGGCAGTGGCTTTACAGTGTCGGCCCCTGCATTTTCTAAATTAACCTCTTATATATACTTTTTCCTGGGCCTATACATTTTATAAAATTTCTCATTTTAAAAATCAAATGAGAATAATCAAGGAACACAAGCACAAAACTGTTCCCGCAATTTTGTTTTTCTGCTTTCTTTCATTTCCTAACCTCAAATTTCAAGAACATGTTTTTCTGATTACAAAAGTAATACATGAGAATACTTCAAGAGTTCATGGAAAATGCATATTATGCATAGATTTCAAAATTTTTTCAAAGCAAAATAAACATATTTTAACTCAAATTTTCCATGAACTTTTTGAAGTGCCTTAGAAAATGTAGGAAACAAAGAATTCAAAGGAACACAAATTTACAATTTGAAGTTAATTATTGTTAACATTTTAGGATTTTCCCGTTACATTATTTTTCTGCTACTGCACCTTTCTCTCCTGACACATGTGGTACCATTCAGTTTACATAGTTCTTATAGCGTGTAATACAAATTGTGATAAATTGGAAAGATCTTCCCATGTCAATATTTTTGTTTCTTGCAATGATTTTAATGATTACATAGTGTGTATATTTTACTGTTGTGTGACTGTACAAAAATTTTTTTAGAAAAAATCATCAATTTGCTACCAAGAACTATATACTTATTGTTTACTTTGGTATGGTTTGTCTGCTCCACTGGAACTGAAGGTCTGTGGAAGCAGCGAACTTGATTTGGATTTGTTGTATTCCCTGTTGTCCAGTGCTTGGGTAGTTTTTGTCACTGAATGCATATTTATTCCTTAAATGAGGTAATATATTGTCACATATTAATATTTATTAATATATTGTTGTATGTGTATATATTTCCAGTTTTTACTGGAGTAAATGATACTGAAAGAAAATTATTGTACATATTTTTTCAGATTCATATTATTTGCTTAGTGTGAATCCTTACAAGCTGAAATTCTAAGTCAAATTATTCAAAGTTTAAAGTTTGTAGTAAATTGTGATTATCCTGAATGGCTGTTATCAATGTACACTTCCATTAGTGGCATGTGAGTGTGTCTATTTTAGCAGTCTTTTTCAAAAGTGTACTGTAGTAGTTAAACCACTTTCAACTGAGTAGATAGAGCATATGATTTTTCTTTGTAAAAATATTTACATATTTATTATCATTTTATTTGAAAACAGAGAAGGAGAGGGATGGAGAGAGAGGGAGGGGAAAAGAAGGAGAGAGATTACACACACACACAGAAGATTTTCCATGCACTGGTTCTCTCCCCAAATGCTCATAGCAATCAGGATTGGACCAGACCAAAGCCAGTAGTTTGGAACTCAATCGAGGTCTTCCATGTTGGTGGCAAGGACTGAAGTACTTGAGGCATGTATCATTTGCTGCCTGTCAGGATACCTATTAGCAGGAAACTGGATTGGAAGTGGAGTGGCCAAGGCACAAACCAGGCGTTCCAATATGGTATGGAGGCATAGCAAGCAGTGACCTAACAACTACATCAAACGCATACCCTTATTTTCATTTTTAATATGCATTTCTTTGATTATGTAGAGTTTTGAGGAGATAATTTGTATAGTTTAAATTCTTTTATTACATTTTGTTTTATAATCCAGATAATCATCTTTGTGAGTGTTCCACGTGCTCTTGAAGATCATATGTATTCTGCTATTGCTGGGTAGAGTATTGTATAAATAGCCGTGAGGTCAAATTGTTGTTAAGTTTTCTATGTCATTATTGATTATTTGTTTACTTATTTCAATTTCTGAGAAAAAAAGTATTAAAATCGGCAACTCTAATTGTGAATAAATCCACTTCTTTTTTCGTTTTTATTAGTTTTGCCTTGTGTATTTTGAAGTTCTGTTGTTAAGTATATAAGCATTATGGATGATTTTGATTTCTACAAGAATTACTCTTTTGTTATTATCTAATGCTTTTCTTCATGACTGGTAATAGCCTTTGTTTTCAGGTCTCCTTTGTCTGATATTAAAATAGGTAGTCAGGCTTTCCTTTTTTAATATTTGCATGATATGTCTCTTCCATCCTTTTACTATTAGTACATCTGGTTTTATATTTAAAGTGAGAATCTTACAGACAACATTATATTGTGTTGTTCTTTTATTAAATACAATAATATCTTTTATATTGATATATTCAGACTTCTAGCATTTGATTTTATGATTAAAATAATGCTAAAATCTAACATCTTGTCAGCTGTTTTCTATTTATTAATTTCTATTTGCCATTTCTACCTTTTTGGACTGAACATTTTTTATGATCTATTTTTTCAAAAGATTTATTTGCCTATTTGAAAAGAATCTGAGAGTGAGGGAAAGACAGAGTGAGAGATTCGTCTGCTGGTTCACTCCTGAAATTCCTGTATCAGTGGGGGCTGGGCCAGGCTGAAGCCAAGAGCCAGGAACCCCTTCTGGGTCTCCCACATCGGTGGCAGGAACTCAAGTTCCTGAGGCCATCATTCACTGCCCACTCAGGCACATTAGTAGAGGAAGCTGGATTGGGAAAGGAGTAGCTGACACTTGAACTGGCACTCCAGCATAGGATGTGGGTGTCCCAAGTGACAGCTTAACTGGCTAATGCTACAACACCCACTTGGTGTAATTCCATTTTTAAACTACTATTGGCTTAATATTTGTTAATAAAAATTTTTAATGGTTTCCCTATCATTTATAGTGTTCATCTCTAAAGAGTCAGGGTCTGTATTATAGTACCTTGCATATATTGCAAGGATCTTGTAATAGGATACTCTCAGTCTCTCCCTCTCTTATGTTGTCATAACTTTACCTTTTTTACATATGCTATAAACACTGTACATTCTTACTATTTTTCCTTTATGTAGTTGTCTTTTAAAATAATTAGAAAATAAAAAAAATTCCATTTCTAATGCTTCTCATTTCTTTTTGTAGATCCAGGTTTCTGATGTTATCAGAACCTAAAGAACTAGGCAATTAGGTATAGTATATCTATGTTACTATAGTTGGTGTAGCAAATACTTCTTGACATGAATTCTTTTTGACTTTATTGTATAAGGAAGATTTTTATTTCTCATTATTGACAGATCTTCTACTGGGTATAGAATTGTCAGTTAATAGTTTTCTTTTAGCATGTTTAAGATGTCATTCAATTCTTTTTTATTCCTTACATTTTTTATGATGAGAAATCTTCTGTAATTCTTCTGTTTATTCTTCTGTACATAATGACTTTTCCCTCTCTGTGCTCAGATTTTTCTCTTTGTTGTTGGTTTTTAAGTTTGTATATTTTATGTCTAGTTGTTTTCTTTTGTGTTTTTATTTATCCTGTGTGATGTTCTCTGAGCTTCTTGAATCTGGAGTTTGGAGTATATCATTAATTTTTAAATTAAGATGCTCAGAGAACACAGAAACCGTAGCTGTTTCTCCAAAATTAGTTGTTCCCTGCTCTTTTCTCTCTTCCCAGACATTTCAGTGCATGCATGTTAGACAATTTGATATTATCCAATCATGACTCTTAGATCCTCTTTTCATTGTTTTCACTGATCTTTCCCTTAGGGTTTTATTTGGTTAATTTCTATTGATTTACCTTAAATTTCACTTATTCTCATCTCTGCTGAGGCTAGTCTATTATTAAGCCTATTGAAAACATTCTCCGTCAGTATTATATTTTGA